ATCTTACATTGTTATTTTATATTGCCCAATTATTTTCTCGAGTCACTCATCATTCTCTTCTTCTGCTAATTGAAAAACTAAATGTTCATCTGTATTTATTTTTTTTTTTAGTTTTAGCAAAATTTATCAAATTTGCTAAATTTTCATTCCAAATTTCAGCTTTTATTTTTATTAATTTTTTTTATCACAAACTACTAAATCCAAGTCGTTCATTTTATTATGTATGTTAAATTTTATCATTTTGTGTCAAAAATTGCTCTGTACAGCAGCAAAATTCAGAAGATTTTGCCAAAAATTTAATAATTATCCTTCAAACGTTTAAAATTTCAAGTCACAAACCATTAAACCCAAGTCATTCTTCATTTTCATGCGCTAATTCATCTATTAGTGATTCCAAACATGTCTCTATAAATGAGAAAAATTCTGAATATTTTGCAAAATTTTAAACTTGCGAAAACCTTTAATTTCATTTCATCTTGAATTGTGATTTTACCCCATATTGTCCCATCTTTTTCTTACCTTTCTATCCTCGGCTCCCAAACCACTAAACCCAACTCACTCTTTATTCTCTTAGTGATGCCGTAAAAGATTATGCAAAAGTTGAAACAATTTTGTACACAATTTTCATAATTAATTTCATCTTGAAGTTACTGTTTTTGTTTTGTGTTTTTGTTGTTGTATTTTACGCATATTGTTCTTCTTCTTCTTCTTGCGTCCTCATTTCCCAAACCACTAAACCCAAGTCACTCTTCTGCTCATTAAAATGATAGATAGATAGATAGATAGATAGATAGATAGATAGATAGATAGATAGATAGATAGATAGATAGATAGACGAATCTGCAAATTGTGAAGTTTAGACAAAATTTGAAACAATTTTATAAAAATTTCAAATTGTTTGTTTGTTTTGTTTTGTTTTGTTGGTTTGTTTTTTACCACATATTGTTCCATCTTTTTCTTACATCTTTGTCTCCCAAACTTTTCTTCTGCTAATTAAAATATTGCAAATTCTCAAGGTGCATTTTTTAAAATCATCTTAGAATTAGCTTTTTTTAATCCTTTTTTGTTGTTTTACCTTTTTGCGTTCTCGTCTCTCAAAGCCACTAAACCCAAATCATTCTTCATTCTCTTCTAACTAAAATATGATATATTTTGCTTAATCTGCAAAGTTCTGAAGATCTGACAAAATTTGAATCAATTTCGTACAAAATTTTCCTTTTAAATTTCAACCTGTATTGTTTATTTGTTTGTTTTTGAACCTTATATTGTTCCATCTTTTTCTTATATCCTCGTCCTCTCGAACTCATTTCAATCTGCAAATTGTGAAATTTATGCTTTTTTTTTTTTATTACCCAAGAAATTGCAATTTTACTCAAACACTGTTTTATCTTTTTGCATTCTCATTTCTCAAAGCCACTAAACACAGATCATTTTTCATTCTAACTAAACAAAAATATTTTGACTAATCTGCAAAATTCTGAAGATTAGACAAAATTTTACAAACTTTAGTACAAAATTTTCCTTCTAAATTTCAACTCATATTGTTTTTTTGGCTGTTTTTTTTTATCCCATTTATCTTTTTCTTACATCCTCCTCTCCCAAATTCTTCTTTCTGCCAATTAAAAATATTGCAAATTCTCAAGATTATGCAAAATAAAAAAAATTTAAAAATTAAAAATCATCCAAGAATTTGCTTTTTTTCCCTCTTCTTTTTGCATTCTCATCTTTCAAAGCCACTAAACCCAAATCATTCTTCATTCTCTTTTTATTAAAATATGATAAAATAGTTTGCCTAATCTGAAAAATTCTGAAGATTAGGCAAAATTTGAAATGATTTACTCCAAAATTTTCATTCCAAATTTCATTTTGAATTCCCAGTTTCTATATTTTACCCATATCTTTGCATCTTTTTGCCACAAACCACAAAGCGGCACTTAAAGACACCGACCCGCCGCGTTTGAGTCGAGTCACAGAGACCTGCCGATCGCGCTCGCTCCATAATATTGATAACTGATCGAGGGCATTGATTTCCGATCGGGTGACATCACGGGAGCGGCTCCGGTTTCCGATGCGGAGAGGAGGAAAGCTGCCCAAGCGAAATACTACTCCTCCTCCTCCTCTTCTCTCTCTCTCCGTCTCTGTCGTCGCTCCATCGCTCTGTGCACGAGTCCTTCAGGGACGTTTTCATCTTTATCGAACATTTTTGAATCGGTTTTGCCTTTTTTTATTGCCGCACGTTTCAGATTTCGTGCGGTATTGTTTAGTAATTCTAATGTGAGTGAAATGATCTGGGTTTTTTGTGCATTTTTTAACATCATCTCTATTTAAAGCGTCTTCATCTTCCAAATTATTAAAGCCCAATCTGCAAAATTCTCAAGATTCCGCAAAAATTTTGAACAATTTTCTTCCAAATTTTCATACTTAATTTCATCTTTACCCATATTTTCTTGGATCTTCATCTCTCAAAACAATAAAAGTACCTTCTTCATTCTCTTCTGCTTTAAAATATAAATGTTATATGTATAAATCTGCCAAATTATGAAGATTATGCACAATTTTTTAACAATTTACTTCCAAATTTTCATACTTAACTTCATCTTTACCCATTTTTTCTAACATCCTCATCTCTCAAACCAATAAACAGACCTTCTTCATTCTCTGTGCTAATTAAAATATAACAAATACTGATTCCTGTATATAAATCTGCCAAATTATGAAGATTATCCAACATTTTAAAACAGTTACACTAGAATTTTTGCTAAATTTAAACTTCTATTGCTTTTTTTTACTCTATATTGTTACATCTTTTTTCTGCAACTTCATCTCCTAAACCACAAAACCTCTGTTAAAGCCAAACTATTAAAGCCCAATTGGAAAAATTTCTGGAGAATATGCAAAATTTTAAACAATTTACTTCCAGATTTTCAAACTTAATTTCATCTTTACCCATATTTTCTAAATAAACAGACCTTCTTCATTCTCTTTTGCTTTAAAATATAAATGTTTTATGTATAAATCTGCAAAATTTTGAAGATTATGCAACATCTTAAAACAATTACACAAGATTTTTTTCAAAATTTCATCTTTTTACTCAATATTTTTCAGTCCTATTCTTTAATCTTCATTTCCTAAACCGCAAAACCTCTTTGTGTGAGCTCTATTTTCAACATTATTGAACATTTTTGAATCAGTTTTGCAAAATTTCAACCTTGTATTGTCTTTTTTACTCTATATTGTTCAATCTTTTTCTTTAATCTTCGTCTCCTAAAGCACAAAACCTCCGTATATGAGTCCTATAAGGTCATTTTTATCATTATTGAATGTTTTTTTAATTGGTTTTGTGTGTTTTATTGTGATTCTAATGCAGATTTTATGTGGTTGGATAAATATATAAACATTTGTGTTTTTTCTTTTGGATATTTCCATTTAAAATACCAAATATTTGATAGAGAACACTGACTGCTCTTCTTCTGCATCTCTCCATCTCTGTATCTGAGTCCTACAGGGTCATTTTCATCTTTATCTAACATTTTTGTGTGTTTTTATTGCTAGATGAGTTTCAGATTACATAACATTTCTTCTTTTTCTAGAGTACGGTATTGTGTAACGATCAGTTTAAACTCTTGTGGTTTTTCCTTTTGGATATTTCAATTTAAAACACCAAATAATTGATACAGAATACTGACTCCTCTTCTTCTTCTTCTTCTGTGTAACTGGGTCTTAAAGGGCCATTTTCATCTTTATCGAACATTTCTGAATCGATTTTGCCTGTTTTTATTGCCATAGGTTTCAAATTACATCACATTTCTTCTTCTTTTGCTGATTTTGTGTGGTTGGATAAATATAAAAAGACTTATATGTAAATCAACAGACCTGGTCACAAATGTAAAATGTTGAGTTTTGACATTTTGGGTTTTTTTTTGGGGGGGGTATTTCTTCTTTAAAATACCAAATATTTGATACCGATACCGAACAACAGCTGATTTTATATATTTTAATAAAACGCTATTAAAGATTTGCTAATTAATAAAAACTAGTTACAATTTCAGGTTTAAAACTGCATTAATTTTATCAACAAATCAGCCTTTAGTAATGTATGTAAGTATGACAGGCCTATGTTTTTGGTCCATTATTGTAAATTCGTAACATCATATGGCATTTTAAGTTCTTATTTTATCAAGACGAAGATATAAAAACGCTTTAAATGTAGTCTTATAATTGTAAAAAAAAAAATGTAAAACGATGTATTATTGCACTTAAAATATTCCAAGAGCAGATTTTCATAACAATTTCAACTTGAAATCCTAAAAATATCCGTCCGTGTTGCGTTTAAGTTGATTAATAACATTGTACACTCGAGTATTTTGTAAGTTTTGTGCGTTTTAGTCGTAGTATTTATATTAGAAAGTACAGTATCCACGTTTTTGCTCAAATTGCTCAGATGTTTTGAGTCTTTTTGGGCCTTTGCTGCGTCTGTGAATCAGGCCCTTACTGCCCCCTATTGGCCAAACATGGAATTTAGTCTTTCACTTTCAGATCTGCATACTTTCACATGCACTGGTGTTTTAATATTACGGATTTATTGTCGCGTTTAAAAAAAAGATCGACGCTTTCTTTTTTATTATTAAAGAAACTGCATCTTCAAACGAGTATTAAAAGTACGCGGTATGGGCTCAAAACTCGATTCCAAAATGTATTTATGAAAGTAGATGTAAGCTTTACGACTAAAATTTCTCAGATTGTTCTTCTAATTTGAGATTTACCCCGAATTTATTTCAAAACAACTCAAAAAATTGCAGATTACTGGCGTGGTCGTCTCTGCAGACAGCTTGGAACCTCTGTCTCCCGTTCTCCGCTAAGCCCCGCCCCCTTCTCGCACGGACCTGCCCCTGATTGGTCCCTCCCTCGGTCCTGTCACTTTTTTCTCAGCGCTCCGATTGGCTGAGCTGGGCTGGATGACACGCGAATGCAAAACAGTACCGGTAAAAGGCTGTCCCTGTCACACGCTATTTGGATTAGACGCGAGAGAAGCACCGAGCGGCCACTTCTGCTTATATCCCTGCTTTATTTACGCAAATTCTGGCTTGAAAGTTGCATTGAAGTCATTTTTCGAGTGTTTTGAACTGTTTCGTGGCTGTTTACCGTGATTTTTCCCCCCTATTTGGACTTATAAGGAAACTAAACCAAAGCGCAAAGGATATTTTTGTGGTGCGTAAAAGTGATCGTGGACCGCCGCAGCATCTTCGTAAAGCGATATTACGGGACATACAAGCGGGGCGACGTGCGAGGAGACGCTCGGACGCCAAAAGGAACACATTACGTGACTTTTAAGCGGCGCGAGACCGACGGAGGTTGACGTGGAGTGAACGTTATTACGCACAAATGGTGTTTCTGTGGGACTCGAAATACGGTACTAAATCTTATTGTTAATTTCGACATTTTTTTTGCAGCTTTTTGACATTTAATAACTTTAATCTGGTAAAACAACTGAAAAATAAAGGAGTGGTTTACAAACGATAACACCAAATAAGGCACTAAATGAGACGTCCGCTTTTTACGCACGGATTAACGCTAATTTAACGCGCATCCCGAGCCTCTTTTCAAATGAATGAGTTAAACTTTGAATGATTTTGGTTTGAAAACAAAACTAAACAAACATTTTTAACAGAATGAAACTATAAAAGCGTGTAATTATGTAAAAATTTAAGTAAAACACACGTTAAATCTAACATATTTTGCATTTTAACTATGGTTATGGAAACGTTCTTAACCAAAAATAACTAGCTCAAACATGACTTTTATAAGGATTTTAGGTTTCAGATTAAATAAACTCATCGTAGGATATTATAAATTACAAATATTAAAGTGATTTACTGTAGAATTATGTATTACTGAGGAAAATATTTACATTTTTGAACCTGATATTTTCAAATCTGCTGTAATAAAAGCTACAGAGTGCCTTGGATTTTTGTCATTTTTTAATATTTAACATCAAATTTCCGCTACAGGATTTACCCAAAATACAAAACTGCTTTCTATTTTCAAATCTGTGTTTAAATTTCATGTAGATTTTGAAATAATTTGACAAAATCAGCTTGCACAGAGCGCTCTCGGCTTCGGTCGGCGGATACAGTTTCAACAGACATGACTTCATCTTATTGAAACAAAGGAGACAGTAGTTATTATATTACTTGATTAATTTAATATTTTTTACATTTTATTTTCAGTTTGCGTTTTCGGCTGAGTGACTTTCGTGTAAGCAATTATTAAAAAGCTGTTAATGGATCTGTAATTGCAGTAGTAGCAGTAGTAGTAGTAGCAGTAGTAGTAGTTATTTTTGTATATATTTAGACATGGTAAGTTGTCTAAACATTTTTTAATAACTTGATATATAGGGAGAAAACAGGTAATAAAGCTTAAACAGTAATAGTAATAGCAGTAGTAGTAGTAATAGTAGTAGTAGTATTTCTAGCAGTAGCTGTAGTAGTAGTACTGTAGTATTTCTTTACGCATACATATATATTTGTGTGTTGGTGCATTGAAATGTTGCATGGTACGTTGTCAATTGTTTGTAACTTGGTATTAAAAAGCACAAATCTGTAATTGCAGTAGTAGTAGTAGTAGTAGTAGTAGTAGTAGTAGTAGTAGTAGTAGTATTTCTAGTAGTAATACTAGTACTGTAGTAGTTATTTCTGCATATATATTTGTGCGTTGAAATGTTGCGTCTAAGAAATTGTTTGTAACTTGGTATTAAAAGCAGGTAATAAATTTGTAATTGCAGTAGTAGTAGAAGTAGTACTAGCAGTAGTATCTCTAGCAGTGGTAGTAGTAGTAATAGTACTGTAGTATTTCTTTGTGCATATGTATATATATTTATGTGTTGGTACACTGAAATGTTGCGTGGTAGGTTCTCTAAAAAACTGTAATTTGGTATTAAAAAGCATTTCATATATCTGTAATTGCAGTAGTAGTAATAGTAGTAGTAGTAGTAGTAGTAGTAGTAGTACTTCTTTGCACATATATATTTGTGTGTTGGTACATTGAAATATTGCGTGGCAGGTTGTCTAAGAAATGTTTGTAACATTTTTTTTTTTTTAAAAGGGATTAAAAAGCCATTAATAAATCTGTAATTGTAGTAGTAGTAGTAGTGGTAGTAGTATTTCTAGTACTAGTAGTAGTACTGTAGTAGTTATTTGCGTATATATATTTGTGTGTTGGTGCGGTGAAATGTTGTCGTCCAAGAAATTCTTTGTAACTTGGTATTAAAAAGCAGTTAATACATCTATAATTGCAGTAGTAGTAGTACTAGTAGCAGTAGTAGTAGTATTTCTAGTAGTAGTAGTAGTAGTAGTAGTAGTAGCAGTACTGTAGTAGTACTGTATTTATATATTTGTGTGTTGGCACATTGAAATATTGCGTGGCAGGTTGTCTAAGTCTAAATTATTAATAACTTGGTATTAAAAAGTAGTCAATAAATCTATAATTGCAGTACTAGTCATGGTAGTAGCAGTAGTACTTCTTAGTAGTAGTAGTAGTTCTTTGCATATATATATATATTTGTATGTCGGTGTATTGAAATATTACATTGTAAGTTGTCTAAGCAATTGTTAGTAACTTGGTATAGAGGATTAAATCAATTAACAAAACTCTAATAGTAGTAGTAGTAGTAGTAGTAGTAGTAGTAGTCCTTTGCGTGTATATATTTGTATGTTGACGTATTGAAATGTTACATGGTAAGTTCTCAAAGTAGTAGTAGTAGTAGTAGTTTTGCATATATATTTGTATATTTAATGCGTGGTAATTTGTGTAAGTAATTGGTTACCTGGTATATAGGAATAAAGCAGATAATGTAGTAGTAGTAGTAGGAGTAGTAGTAGTAGTAGCAGTAGTAGTAGTAGTAGTGTATATAGTAGTTGTCTAAGTAATTCTTGGTCACTGTGTATTGGTGATAAATCCAGTAATAAAGCTTTATCGCCGTCGTCATGGCAGCCGTAGCGGTAGTTGCCTGTATTTGTTTATTGGTCAAGACTTTAAGTGTTGAAATTGCGCTGCGGTGGCCCAAACCTCTACTTCCTGATTTTGTGGTTTGGTTTGTGAAAAGTGGGCGGGATTTCAGATCAAAACTTCCTCAAAAACCACTGGTCAGGTTTTGGTTTGACTGTGGTCAGACTGTGGCTTGTGACCAATATAAAGATCAGATTGTTATTGTGGAGATATATAAAGACTACATTTCCCATGAGCCTCTATGGCACCAATAAGGAAATACATACACATGACTTATTATATTCATATTTTTACACATGTAGGATGATATTACAGGCTAATATAACTTTAAATACTCACTGTTTTCTTATTTTAGTGTTTCTTGCGCCGTCTACATGTGCAATACTTTGATTTCGACTTTAAATAAGAAAATTTAAAACGTAAACAAAGCTTTTTATACACGTTTAATATCAAATTGTGCGCAACAAAATGGCTGTCAGTATTACAGTTTACAGTTATTCTATTGAGAATTTGTGTTTCAATCTTGCCGAGATGTTTGGATTAAATAGTTTTACGTAATAATTTTGAAATCGCAAGTTTAAATTCTTATAAATCCAATTTTGTAGTTTTTTTTGTGATATTATAGGTAAACAAACAAGTATTTTTTCATTTCATTGACACAAAAACTGTGCAACGTAAACCAGAATATGTCTTTTATATCATATTATAAGCTTTAAGAAGAATATATAGTGATTTTTGTTTAATTTCGTCATTTAAAATCAGTGTTTATATCTTGAATCTTTCTAATCGGACTATACGGAAAACTGGCTTCACTCAAATTATTCACATATTATAAAAAAAAACTAAAAAAACGAAGATATAATGAAGGTAAATGTTACAAATCAGAGAATAAAATGTAAATAAATCAGGTTTTAAAGTCTGTTTTTGTTATTTGAGGTTGATTTAATGACACATTTAATGATTTAAGGCGGTATTTGCCTTTTTATTATTATTATAAGTTATGACAATACTGTATATAGTGATTTTTGTTTAATTTATTCATTTAAAGTCAGGTTTTATAGCTTGAATCTTTCTAATCGTACTATACGGAAAGCTGACTTCACTTAAAAGAGTCACGTATTATAAAAAAACATAGATATATCAAAGGAAAAAGCTACAAATAAGAAAATAAATTGTAAAAAAAAACAAAAAAAAAAAACAGGTTTTAAAGTCTGTTTTTGTGATTTAAGGTTGCGTTAATGACCCCATGCGATAGTATTTGTCTAATTATTATTATTATAAGACATTAGAATACTGTATATAGTGATTTTTGTTTAATTTCATTGTTTAAAATCAGAATTTCTACTTTGAATTTTGCATCTTTGACTATACGGAAAACTGACTTCACTCAAATGATTCACATATTATAAAAACATATACATATAATGAAGGAAAACGTTACAAATAAGAAAATAAAATGTAAATAAATTAGGTTTTAAAGTCTGTTTTTGTGATTTGAGGTTGATTTAATGATTCTATGCGCTGGGATTTCACTGTTTATTATTATTATAAGACATGAGAATACTGTATATAGTGATTTTTGTTTAATTTCATTGTTTAAAATCTGAATTTCTACTTTGAATTTTGCATCTTTGACTATACGGAAAACTGACTTCACTCAAATGATTCACATATTATAAAAACATATACATATAATGAAGGAAAACGTTACAAATAAGAAAATAAAATGTAAATAAATCAGGTTTTAAAGTCTGTTTTTGTGATTTGAGGTTGCACTTTGAGGTTACACATGTCTTATCAGACATGAGGATACTATGATACAGTGATTTTTGCTTTAATTTCGTCATTTAAAATCAGAATTTCTACTTTGAATCTTGCTTATTTTTGACTCTACGGAAAATCGGCTTCACTCAAATTACTAACACACTTTGTAAAAACAGACTGACTAAAAAAGTTGCATTTCAGAAAATAAAAAGTAAAAAAAAAGTCAGGTTTTAAAGTCTGTTTTTGTGATTTGAGGTTGCACTGATGACTCTGTGTGCTGGTATTTGCCTTTGACTCTGAGTGGGACATGTGTCATGCACTTCTTGTAATCCATTACCAAATAAAAATGAGCGTTTTTCTCCATAAAGAATGAGCAAGCGTCTCCAAATATGTACAAAAACACTGGTCCTCGGAGGAAAAAATTAAAAAAATACGTGTACTTTTGTATTTCTCTGTTTTAAATTTCACACAGTAAAGATTGCATCATGTTTTATCGGTAACTGTAATTTACTGCTGTGTTCATCTGTACACGCCACAGCAAAACTGGGACTAAACCAGGACTAAACCGGGATTTAACCAGTTCTACATCAGAACTAAAAAGGGGTAAATTTAGAACTAACCAAGGATTAAACCAGGACTAAACCAAGACTAAACCGGGATTTAACCAGTTCTATATCAGAACTAAAAAGGGGTAAATTTAGAACTAACCAAGGATTAAACCAGGACTAAACCAGTACTAAACCGGGATTAAATCTGGACTAAATCAGCTCTAAACCAGGACTAAACCAGGACTAAATCAGGATTAAACAAGTACTAAATTAGGACTAAACCAGAACTAAACCAAGACTAAACTACGACTAAACCAGGACTAAACCAAGACTTAACCAGCACTAAACCAGGACTAAACCAGGACTAAACCAAGACTAAACCAGGACTAAATAAACCAGGACTAAATCAGGACTAAATCAGGACTAAACCAGCACAAAACTAGAGCTAAACTAGGACTAAATTGGGACTAAACCAGGACTAAACCAGGACTAAGTAGGAGTGCAGCTGGTATTATATATTGACATTATTATTGTTTATTTCGTTTTATATGAATCATTATTTTAATCGTACAAAATACTCTCAACTGTTTTGTGGATTACATTTTGATGTGATACACACATCCCTTCGAAAAGGAGATTTTATTACATTTTTATATTAATTATTGAATATTTTATTTGTAATTTAACGTTTGTCCACATAATTCTAGATTTAATACTCATCAAATGTTGCATGTAGTTTTATCGCAGTTAATTTTTTAAAGATTCAAGCAAAAATATTTACTCTGCTGGATAATTTCGTGTACATTTTACAACTATTACTACTGCTACTACTGTTACTACTAGTATTTGAAGTATTTTGTGTGTAAATGTAATAGTTGTTGTGTGTGTTTGTTGGTCCAGACCCAGCCCCCGGGCGCCGCTACACTCCCCCCTCCACGACGCTCTCCTCTGGGGGAAAGATGACTGAAGCTCTGCCTCTGGGAGCTCAGGAGCCTGGAGGAGGAAACGCTCAAGTGTCCAAGTACAGTATGAGCGGCCGAGGAGTACTACAGGTCAGAATACTACTGAAGTACTGCTGTTACTACTACTGTGACTATGTCCACTACCACTACGACTACTACTACTACTGCTAGAACTACTGCTACGATATATATTGCTTTACTCTCTGACAGTATGGCTACTACTACGACTTTAACTATTTCTGCAGCAGCTAGTACTACTACTAATACTACTACTACTACTACTACTACTACTGCTACTTCTGGTACTACTACTGTTACTACTGCTTGAACTACTGCTACTATTATATTACTTTAATTTTTGACACTACTTTAGCTATGTAACTGCTAATACTACTGCAACTACTACTAATACTACTACTACTACTGCTACTACTACTATTACTACTGCTAGAACTACTGCTACTATTATATTACTTTACTTTTTGACAGAATAGCTACTACTACTACTGTTTTAGCTATTTCTGCAGCAACTAGTACTACTACTACTACTACTACTACTACTACTACTACTACTATTACTACTGCTACTACTTCTGGTACTACTACTACTGTTACTACTGCTAGAACTACTGCTACTATTATATTATTTTACATTCTGACAGTACGACTAACACTACTTTAGCTATGTAACTACTACAGTAGTACTACAGTAACTACTACTACTACTACTACTATCACTGCTATTATTACTATTACTACTACTACGACTACTACTACTACTGCTACTATTGTATTACTTTACACTATGACAGTACGACTACAACTACTTTAGCTATTTCTACAGCAACTACTACTATTACTACTACTACTACTACTACTACTACTAGTACTACTACAACAGCTACCACAACTACTTCAACTGCTGCTGCACCTACTACTACTACTAGTGCTACAACTAATACTACTACTATACTACTACTACTACTACGACTACTACTACGATTACTTCTACTACTACGACTATGACTACTACTACGACTACTACTACTACTGCTGTTAGAACTACTGTGATTGCCAATTTGTCTACTTCCATTACTAAACAGTCTGACAATATGACTGTACCACTACTTTTACTATGACTACAACTACTACAACTGCTACTATTACTACACATTCTGATACTACTGCTACTACTACTACTTTTACTATTACTACTACAGCTGCAGCTACTACTACTACTACAAAATATGTACTTTCGATATTGATCTTTTAACTGATATAGATATATATAGATTTATGATCATTTCAGTGAAAAACACATTGAGGTGGACTTTAAATTTAGAATTTTGAAGCAACACAAAATAAAACGTTAACTTTAATTATCTATAAATGAAAAATGTAGAATCTAAATATTAGTTTTGTCTTTCGTCCAGGTGATCTCGGACCACTCGGGGGAGCTGGTGAAGACGGACAGCCCGAACTTCCTGTGCTCAGTTCTGCCCACGCACTGGAGGTGTAACAAAACTCTGCCCATCGCCTTCAAGGTCAAAAGCTCAGAAAATATTTGATACGATATTTTTTTTTTTTTTCCAGTGTTCAGACCTTTTAATTTTGCACTTTTTCTTTGTTTTGGTCCTGGTTTGATTCCAATTTAGTCCCGATGCAGACTTTTTTCCGTGCTGTTCTAGCCCTGGCTTAGTTTGGTCCTGTTCTAGTCCTGGTTTAGTCCTGGTTTAGTCTCAGTTTAGTCCAAGTCTAGTCCTGATTTAGTCCTGGTCTAGTCCTGGTCTATCCCTGGTCTGCTCCTGTTTATGTCCTGCTTTTATTCTGGTTTAGTCGCGGTTTAGTCCCGGTTTAGTCCTGGTCTAGTCCTGGTCTAGTCCTGGTTTTAGTCCTAGTCTAGTCCTGGTCTGGTCCTGTTTTTGTCCTGATGAAGACTTGGTTCAGAACTGTTGTAGCCCTGGTTTAGTTTGGTCCTGTTCTAGTCCTGGTTTAGTCCCCGTGTAGGCCAGGTATAGTCCTGATTTAGTCCTGGTCTAGTCCTGGTCTATCCCTGGTCTGCTCCTGTTTATGTCCTGCTTTTATTCTGGTTTAGTTGTGGTTTAGTCCCGGTTTAGTCCTGGTCTAGTCCTGGTTTTAGTCCTAGTCTAGTCCTGGTCTGGTCCTGTTTTAGTTCTGATGCAGACTTGGTTCAGTACTGTTCTAGTCCTGGCTTAGTTTGGTCCTGTTCTAGTCCTGGTTTAGTCCTGGTTTAGTCTCAGTTTAGTCCAAGTCTAGTCCTGGTCCGGTCCTGTTTTTGTCCTGATGTTGGTAGAACTGCTGGTTTAGTTTGGTCTGTTCTAGTCTGAGTCTAGTCTGGTTTTAGTCCTGATTAGTCCTGTCCTGTCTAGTGGTTCTGTTTATGTCCTGCTTTTATTCTGGTTTAGTCTGTTTAGTCCCGGTTTAGTCCTGGTCTAGTCCTGGTTTAGTCCTAGTCTAGCTCTGGTCCGGTCCTGTTTTAGTTCTGACGCAGACTTGGTTCAGTACTAGTTCTTTTAGTCCTGTTCTAGTCCTGGTTTAGTCTCAGTTTAGTCCAAGTCTAGTCCTGGTCCGGTCCTGTTTTTGTCCTGATGAAGACTTGGTTCAGAACTGTTGTAGCCCTGGTTTAGTTTGGTCCTGTTCTAGTCTGAGTCTAGTCCTGGTTTAGTCCCCGTGTAGGCCAGGTATAGTCCTGATTTAGTCCTGGTCTAGGTCTACTGGTCTGCTCCTGTTTATGTCCTTTATTCTGGTTTAGTCCGGTTTAGTCCGGTTTAGTCCTGGTCTAGTCCTGGTTTTAGTCTAGTCTGTCTGGTCTCCTGTTTTAGTTCTGACGCAGACTTGGTTCAGTACTGTTCTAGTCCTGGTTTATTTTGGTCCTGTTCCAGTCCTGGTGTAGTCCCAGTTTAGTCCAGGTATAGTCCTGATTTAGTCCTGGTCTAGTCCTGGTTTAGTCATAGTCTGGTCTGGTCCTGTTTTAGTCCTGGTTTTATTCTGGTTTAGTTGTGGTTTAGTCCCGGTTTAGTCCTGGTCTAGTCCTGGTTTTAGTCCTAGTTAGTTCTGGTTTCTGTTCTAGTTCCAGTCTTGGTTTAGTAGTTCTAGTTGGTTTAGTTGTGTTCCTGTAGTGTTTAGTCCTGGTTAGTCCTGGTTTAGTCTGGTCTTAGTCCTGTTTAGTCCTGTCTGGTCCTGTTTAGTCTCTGGTTAGTAGTCCTGTTTAGTCTGGTTGTCAGTCCTTGGTTGTTTTTCTAGTCCTGGGTTAGTTTAGTTCCTGTTAGTCCAGTGTATAGTTGTTTTAGTCATGGTCTAGTCCTGGTTTATTCCTAGTCTAGTCCTGGTCTGGTCCTGTTTTAGTCCTGACGCAGATTTGGTTTGGTTCTGTTCTAGTCCTGGTCTATTCCTGGTGTAGTCCTGGTTTAGTCATAGTCTAGTCCTGGTCAGGTCTTTGTTTTAGTCCTGCTTTTATTCTGGTTTAGACCCGGTTTAGTCCCAGTCTAGTCCTGGTCTAGTCCAGGTTTAGTCGTGGTCTAGTCTGGTGTAGTGCTAGTCTAGCCCTGGTCTGGTCCTGTTTTAGTCTTGTTTTAGTTCTAGTTTAGTCCTGGTCTATTTCTGGTTTATTTACAGATTTCGCACCACGATTATTTTGGTCAATATTGAAATCACAATTATTCAAACGATATATTTTTTTAATCACTTTGTTATTGATAATTTATGCAAAACTTTCAAACTGAAAATAAATTCAGGCTACAAACATGAACCTTAGAGCAGTTCTGCGACGTTCTTAACATAAAATTAATAAAATAAACTGAAATAAGGCAGAGAAAAACATAAATGTATCCAAAATAAACCATATATCCAGCTGTTCTACAATCTCATACTTAAAAGATAAATTAAATATACTTATTTATCTAAAAAATATCCCAAAATAAACTTTAATTTCTTCAACACGATTATATGAGTTTGGAGATTGTTTTACACATAAATTGAAATCAAAATTCAATTAATTGCACAGCCTTAGTTAGTCTTATATTTTATTATGTCTTATGTTTATTTTGTTATTAATATTTTGGGTTTTCATTCCCTCAAAATTGCAAAAAGTATAAAGAAAACTGCATAAATAAAGAATAGAAATATAGAAAACGCCAGAATGCTCTTTCAGATTTCTACAGAAAAGAGTGATTTCCTGTATTCTGGTGTAGAAGGTGTTAATTTGTAGATTGGACGCTGTATCTGACACTTTCTGTGCACTTTTGAGACCAGATGTAGCTTTTAGCCTCAAATGCATCGATTTATTGAGTTTTGTGCATTAACATCCGCTGACATAAGTGTGTAGGGAGCATTATCAAACTGTGCACAGGCCACAGCTCCCACACTTACACTGACGACTGAGACAGACTCAGAGAACACGGGTTTAGTGAGACGCAGCTCAATGGACAATAATAAAAATAATAATACAATAAAAATAATAAATATAAAATAATAAAAATAATAGAATAGTTTTGATGTTAATGCTTAAGTGTAATTTTCATTTCTAAAATATATATGTCTATAAAAAATGTAATTATTTGATAGTATTTGGATCCAATCCTATCCAAGTTAACATAAATAGTAGTAGTAGTAGTAGTAGTAGTAGTAGGAGTAGGAGTAGGAGTAGTAGTATTAGTAGGAATAGTAGTAGGAGTAGTAGTAGGAGTAGGAGTAGTAGTAGTAGTAGTAGTAGTAGGAGTAGTAGTAGTAGTAGGAATAGTAGTAGGAGTAGTAGTAGGAGTAGGAGTAGTAGTAGTAGTAATAGTAGTAGGAGTAGTAGTAGTAGAGTAGTAGTAGTAGTAGTAGTAGTAGTAGTAGTAGTAGTAGTAGTAGTAGTAGTAGTAGTAGTAGTAGTAGTAGGAGTAGTAGTAGTAGTAGGAGTAGTAGTAGTAGTAGTAGTAGTAGTAGTAGTAGGAGTAGTAGTAGTAGTAGTAGTAGGAGTAGTAGTAGTAGTAGTAGTAGTAGGAGTAGTAGTAGTAGGAGTAGGAGTAGTAGTAGTAGTAGTAGGAGTAGTAGTAGTAGTAGTAGTAGTAGGAGTAGGAGTAGAGTAGTAGTAGTAGTTGTAGTAGTAGCAGTAGTAGTAGGAGCAGGAGTAGGAGTAGTAGTAGGAATAGTAGTAGTAGTAGTAGTAGTAGTAGGAGTATGAGTAGGAGTAGGAGTAGTAGTAGTAGTAGTAGTAGTCGTAGTAGTAGCAGTAGGAGTAGGAGTAGTAGTAGGAGTAGGAGTAGTCGTAGCAGTAGGAGTGGGAGTAGGAGTAGGAGTAGTAGCAGTAGGAGTAGCAGTAGAAGTAGTAGGAGTAGTAGTAGTAGTAGTAGCAGTAGCAGTAGTAGTTGTTGTAGTAGTAGTACGAGTAGGAGTAGAAGTAGAAGTAGTAGGAGTAGTAGTAGTAGTAGTAGCAGTAGCAGTAGGAGTAGCAGTAGAAGTAGAAGTAGTAGGAGTAGTAGTAGTAGTAGTAGTAGCAGTAGCAGTAGTAGTTGTTGTAGTAGTAGTACGAGTAGGAGTAGAAGTAGAAGTAGTAGGAGTAGTAGTAGCAGTAGCAGTAGCAGTAGTAGTAGTTGGAGTAGTAGTACTAGTAGTAGTATTAGTAGTGGTAGTAGTAGTAATAGTCAGAGAAGGATTAAGAGTAGTAGAAGTAATAGTAGTAGTCAGACTAGTATTAGCAGTACTAGTAGCAGCAGCAGTAGTAGTAGAAGAATTAGTAGTAGTAGTACTAGTAGTAGTAGTAGTTGCAGTAGTCGCAGGAGTAATAGTAGTAGTAATAGTAGTAGTAGTTGCAGTAATAGCAGCAGCAGTAGAGTTGTAGTAGAAATAGTAGTAGTTGCAGTAGCAGTAGTAGTAGTCGTAATAATAGTAATAGTAGTTGCAGTAGCAGTAATAGCATCTTTTGTCTCCATGGAGATTTCATTGCTTTGCCAGAATGTTCCACAGTATGAATAAACTATCTCAATATCAAGCAAGTTACAGGTCAGATCTGTGGAGAGGCAAGCCCATCCACAAGTTTGTAATACTTTATAATATCATGAGTATTTCTTTTACAGGTGATCGCGTTAGGAGATATTCCAGACGGGACTTTGGTGACAGTGATGGCGGGAAACGACGAAAACTACTCCGCCGAACTCAGGAACGCTACGGCGGCCATCAAGGGACAAGTGGCACGGTTTAACGATTTGAGATTCGTTGGGCGCAGTGGACGAGGTAATAAAAAAAGTACACGGAGTAGTCATAAAGAAGTTAAGTAGTAAAGGGAGGGTTAATACAAACATTTAAGAACAAAACGACGAGGTTACAGAAAAGGGAGTGACAGTTTTTCAATGCGAAGTCAGTTGGAGCCAGAGTTGACGAAGCAGGAAGTGTGCACGTGCTCACTTCCTGTTACATATACACAGTGTACGGCTCACACATAATATCATAGTTTCAGATCCAGGGGTTTTTGTAGCAACTCAAAGGAAGATCAACTTTTTGATTCTGAAATACACAAATATTTTAATCACCAATGAAAATAAAGTAAGCTTAGTAGTAGTAGTAGTAGCAGTAGTAGTAGTAGTAGTAGTTTTTGTTGTTGTTGTTGTAGTAGTTTATATTTTCAATAGCTGTAGTGTAGTAGTAACCATAACAAGTACTATAGTTGTAGTAGCAACATATAGTTACTACTACACTACTACACTTATACTATACTTATTGTACTTATAGCAGTATTAATAGTAGTAGTAGTAGTAGTAGTAGTAGTAGTACAACTAAGAGATTAAGTCTTTGTCTACTTATAAGATAGTACTTGTATACATTACTTGTAGTAGTAGTAGTAGTAGTAGTAGTAATAGTAGTAGTAGTAGTAGTAGTAGTAGTAGTAGTAGTAATAGTAGTAGTAGAAGTAGTAGTAATAGTAGGAGTAGGAGGAGTAGTAGTAGTAGTAGTAGAACTAAGTGATTAAGTCTTTGTCTGCTTATAAGATAGTACTTGTATACATTGTCAGTTGAATTTTACAGTAGTAGTAGTAGTAGAAGTAGTAGAATTAGTAGCAGTAGTAGTAGTAGTAGTAGTAGTAGTAGCAGCAGCTGTAGTAGTAGTAGTAGCAGTAGTAAGTAAAAGTAAAAGTGATGAATATTATCAGAATCAATAGTACTTACTGGAAATCATTTTAGTTGTTTCAGTTTTAGTAAATGTAGTGTTATCAATTCCCTTTTACAGTAGTAGTAGTAGTAGTAGTAGTAGTAGTAGTAGTAGTAGTAGTAGTAGTAGGACCAGTTGATTAAGTCTTAGAATGTAGTAGAACGAATTGTATCCTACTTATAAGATAGTAATTGTATATATTTGCATTTGCATTTTATAGTAGTAGTAGTAGTAGTAGCAGTAGTAGTAATAGTAGTAGTAGTAATTTGCATCAAACCTTAACTGTTATTCCCTCTCTTAATTAATAAATACTTTGAGTACTTGTACTTCTACTTAATCATTACAGGTACAATGGTGTAAAAGCGGTGTGTCTAATTTGGGGAAGTCCTCATGAATAAAAACTGTATTTGGTTCAGTTACTTCCTTGTACTGCACTGCCGGAGATGTACTGTTAAACTGACTTATGCTAACCGTAGTACTCTAGGCAAATGTGGTACTTATCTATTTAAAGTAGTACACAGTGCCGTGTATTCTCAGGAACACATTAACTAGAGTCATACATGAAAATATAACTGAAGTAGAGTAGAAATGAAGTACAAGTATAAGTTTTACTACCACTACAACTACTACTACTTCTATTACAACTACTACTTCTACTACTACAGTAATTGCTACTTCTATTACTACTATTTCTACTGCTACTACAGCTATTACTACAACTACTACTATGTTTATTACAACTACTACTACTACTACAACTACTTCTACTACTTACTAACTACTACTACAGCTTTTACTACTGCAACTACAACTGCCACTGCTATTGTAACTACTACTTCTACTGTAACTACTTCTTCTACTACAACTCTAACTTCTACTACAACTACTACTTCTACTACTACAGTAATTGCTACTTCTATTACTACTATTTCTACTGCTACTACAACAACTACTACTACTTCTATTACAACTACTTCTGCTACAACTACTTCTACTACTACAACTACAACTACTGCTACAACTACTACTGCTACTGCAACTACTACTGCTACTACAACTACTACTTCTATTACAACTTCTACTACTATAACAACAGCTACTACTACAACTTCTACAACTACTACAACTTTTACTACTACAACTACAACTGCTACTGCTATTATAACTACTACTTCTACTGCAACTACTTTTTCCACTACTACTGCTACTACAGCTACTACTTCTATTACAACTTCTGCTACTACAACTACTACTTTTACTACAACTACTACTTCTACTACAACTCCTACTTCTACTGCAACTTCTGTTATAACTACTACTCCTACTACAACTGCTACTGCTACTACTACAACTTCTACTTCTACTACAACCTCTTCTTCTACAACTACTACTACTACAACAACTTCTACTACTACAATTACTACTTCTACTACTACAACTACTTCTACTACTACTAACACTGCTACTACTACTACTACTACTTCTACTTCTACTACTACAACTACTAATTTTACTACAATTACTACTTCTACTACAACTATTACTACAACGATGCTATCAGTACTAATACCGCTACTACTTCTACTACTACTATTACTTTCTTATTAGTACTCTATAACTTATATTATTACTGCAGTACTACAATGTTTTTAGGTCACATTCTATAGTCAAATATTTACTTTTTTCATTTAAATATTCTTGTAAAATAATATTTCCAGTGACAATAAGAAGTTACTTGCCGAAAGGACTTTGTTACTTCCTGTTTGTACTTTTGTAAACAGTAACAGACGCCATTTTGAATAACATTTAATTCTGCTTCCTGCTTGGATCTGATTGGTCGGTGAAGGTGTGTTGTTTTTGAATGACACAAAACGACATTAACCAGAGGATTAGAAGAGTCTGCGAGCGGTTTAGTGGTTTAGTGGTTTGACAGAAACAGAGAGGGAGAAAGAGAGGGAAGAGGAAGAGAAAGAGAGGTGAGAAAGAGAGATGGAGAGAGGGAGGAAAGAGTGAGAAAGAGAGAGAGTTGTCGATGAACAGTTTAGTGGTTTGTCAGACAGTCAGTGGTTTTAAGAGAAACAGAGGGATGGAGGGAGGAGGGAGAGAGGCGGAAAGAGGAAGAGAGTGAGAGTTAGAGAGGGGGAGGGAGGAGAGAGATAAAGGGAGGGAAGAGGGAGAGAGAGAGAGATGGAGAAGGGGAGGGAGGAGAGGGAGAGAACAGGAGGAAAGAGGGAGAAATATAGAGAGATGAAAGAGATAGAGAGGGGGAGGGTGGAGAGAGAGAAAGAGAGGGAAGAGGGAGTGAGAGAGAGAGAGAGAGAGAGAGAGAGGGAGAGGAGGAGAGGGAGGAGAGAGAGATAGAGGAGGAGAGGGAGGAGAGAGAGAGAGAGAGAGGAGGAGAGAGAGAGAGAGAGGGAGAGGAGAGAGGAGAGAGGAGAGAGAGAGAGAGAGAGAGAGAGAACATTAGAGAGGAGAGGAGAGAGAGAGAGAGAGAGAGAGATAGAGAGGGAGAGGGAGGAGAGAGAGATAGAGAGAGAGGAGAGAGAAAGAGAGAGAGAGAGGAGAGAGAGAGGAGAGAGAGGAGAGGAGGATAGAGAGGGAGAGGAGAGAGAGATAGAGAGGAGAGGGAGGAGAGAGAGAGAGAGAGATAGAGAAGGGAGGAGAGAGAGAGAGAGGAGAGAGAGAGAGAGAGGGAGAGGGAGGAGAGAGAGATAGAGAGGGAGAGGAGAGGAGAGAGAGAGAGAGAAAGAGAGGGAGGAGAGAGAGAGGAGAGAGGAGAGAGGAATAGAGGTAGGAGAGAGAGACAGAGAGAGGGAGAGAGAGAGGTAAAAGAGAGAACTGGGAGAGAAAGAGAGAGGGGGGTGAGAGGAGAGAGAGATAGAGGGAGGGAGAGAGAGAGAGAGAGAGAGAAGGAGAGAGAGGAGAGATAGAAAGAGAGGGAGGAGAGGAGAGAAGATAGAGAAGGAGAGGGAGGAGAGAGAGAGAGAGAGGAGAGGAGGAGAGAGAGAATAGAGTGGAGAAGGAGAGAGAGAGATAGAGAGAGGAAGAGGAGATAGAGAAGGAGAGGGAGGAGAGAGAGATAGAGAGGGAAGGAGAAAAGAGATAGGAGGGAGAGAGAGAGAGGAGAGAAGAAGAGAGAGGAGAGAGAGAAATAGAGTGGTAGGAGAGAGACAGAGAGAGGGAGAGAGAGAGGTGAAAGAGATGAACTGGGGGAGGAAAGAGAGAGGGGGGGTGAGAGGAGAGAGATAAAGGGAGGGAAGAGGGAGAGAGAGGCGATAGAGATAGAAAGAGGGGGAGGGAGGAGAGAGAGAAAGGAAGAGAAGACAGAGAGAGAGAGATAGGTGAGATAGATAGAGAGGGAGGGGGAGGAGAGAGATAGAGAGATGGAGAGAGACAGGGAGGGAAGAGGGAAAAGAGTGATGGAGGGGTTGAGGGAGGAGAGAGAGAACTGGAGATAAGAGGGAGAGAGAGAGAGAGAGAGAGAGAAAGAGATAGAGGGAAAGGGAGGAAGAGGGAGAGAGAGAGGAAACAGAGAGAGATGGAGAGGGGGGAGAGAGAGAGGAGGAGAGAGAGAGAGAGAGAGAAAGGGAGGGAAGAGAGAGAGAGAGAGCTGGAGAGGGGGAGGGAGGAGAGAGAAAGAGAGAGAGTCTATGGGAAGAGTATGTGAGCATTTTAGTGGTTAGTCAGACAGTGGTTTTAAGAGAAAGAGAGAGATGGAGGGACGCAGAAAGAGGAAGAGAGAGGGAGACAGAGAGGGGAAGGGAGGAGAGAGATAAAGGGAGAGAGAGAGAGGAACGAGAGCGATTGAGAAGGGGAGGGAGGAGAGAGAAAGAGGAGAGTCTATGGGAAGTGTCTGTGAGCGTTTTAGTGGTTAGTCAGACAGTGGTTTTAAGAGAAAGAGAGAGAAGAAAGGGAAGTGACAGAGCGAGAGAAGAGGGATGATAGAGGGGGAGAGAGAGAGATGGACGGAGAGGACAGAGAGGAAAGAAAAACAGAGAGACTGAGAGGGAAACGAGAGAAAGTCCGTGATAGGTGTCCAGGAGCAGGTTAGTCGTTATTCAGGTGTTTGTTTTAAGAGAAAGAGAGAG